CGCGACGCCGGCGAGCCAGGAGAGAGCCACCATTGCCGCCGCCGTCGCTGGAGGAAGTGTGCGGCTCCCGGGCTCTGTCCGCCTTGGGGCGCGCCCCAATGTCAGCCGCGGGGCCGAGTGCAGGCCGTGGGCCGCCGCTGCCCTAGCCGCGCCGATCGGGAGGCGGCCTCTTATATGGAATTTGGACCCCGGCACTCCCCTCCAGGGCTGGTGCCCCGGCCGCGGCCCTGGCGCAGTCCGCGGTCTCCCGCTAGGCGCTCGGGAGGAGGAGGAGGAGACGCAGCCGGCTGCGCGCGCTGCGTGAGGACCGAGGCTCCCTCCTCTGGGGGGCGGGCGCGCGGAAAGCGCTGGTGACTGAGCGACTCTCGGGGCCGCCGGGGCCCGGAGCTCGGGGCTTGGTGGGCCTGTAGTGGCACCGGACGGACCCCCAGAGTTGGGGAGTTGGGGAGACCTGCCCGGGCCCCCTGCCCGCAGCCGCTATGGCGGAGAATTGGAAGAACTGCTTCGAGGAGGAGCTCATCTGCCCCATCTGCCTGCATGTCTTCGTGGAGCCGGTGCAATTGCCGTGCAAACACAACTTCTGTCGGGGCTGCATTGGCGAGGCGTGGGCCAAGGACAGCGGCCTGGTGCGCTGCCCAGAGTGCAACCAGGCCTACAACCAGAAGCCGGGCCTGGAGAAGAACCTGAAGCTCACCAACATCGTGGAGAAGTTCAACGCCCTGCACGTGGAGAAGCCGCCGGCGGCGCTGCACTGCGTGTTCTGCCGCCGTGGCCCCCCGCTGCCGGCGCAGAAGGTCTGCCTGCGCTGCGAGGCGCCCTGCTGCCAGTCCCACGTGCAGACGCACCTGCAGCAGCCCTCCACCGCCCGCGGGCACCTCCTGGTGGAGGCGGACGACGTGCGGGCCTGGAGCTGCCCGCAACACAACGCCTACCGCCTTTACCACTGCGAGGCCGAGCAGGTGGCCGTGTGCCAGTACTGCTGCTACTACAGCGGTGCGCATCAGGGACACTCGGTGTGCGACGTGGAGATCCGGAGGAATGAGATCCGGGCAAGTACCCTACACACAAACACATGCACAACACACACACACACACACACACACACACACTCTCTCTCTCTCTCCTCTCTCTCTCTCTCTCTCTCTCTCTCTCTCTCTCTCTCTCTCTCTCTCTCTCCCTACCGCCTGGGGATCACCCATCCGGACAGGCTGACTCTTGTGACATCAGGCCAGAGGTTCCCTTACAAACTCCTCTGTAAGTTTGGAGGCAAGGTCCTGGGAAGTAGGATCCCCGATCGGTACTTGATATTCCTGCACCTGTGCTCATAGGGGGCATCTTGTGAGGCATTTATAGAATTGAGGTGTGGGGCTGTCAGGGGTAGAGTTTGGCTGTTGCTTTTCTGTTTTGCGCGCAGCTCCCTCCCCTGGCGTTGTTTCCGTAGGCCCTACGGGAAGTCACTAAAGGGAGTGACCCAGGTCCTGCTTCTCTAGCTGCTGTTTATGTAATGAGTGTCCTGGTGCCGCTGCTGTGGCTGACATGATCCATGATGCTGGCATACCAATGAGGAAGTAAACAAAAGCAGCCATGTTAGTTTCAAGCCCTAGTGGAAACACATTGGGGGGGGCGGGGGGCTGGAGGGGGAGCTTCCGGAGGGAGAGCAGAACTCCTGGTATCTATCTGGCTAAGGCCTGGACAGCCAACAGCATCACCGGACAGCATCTCAGCTATTCGGATTATTCCCCATAGCCCGCTCTCCATGTGTGAGAATCGCTGCCCACTGTGTGCCTGTGCGTATTGCACGCGTCTGCATGAACACACCTTAAAGTATGTCTTCATCACCCTGAGCGCTTTTCTCCCAGCCCAGCCCTCTATCACAGCCCTCCCACATTTGGGGAGGAGAAGTGGAAGATGGAAGAAGAATCCTGTGGGTTTAAGGGTGAGCCGCCTTGCAATCTGGTTTCAGGCAGCTGGCTCCCCTGGGCTGCCGGCTGGGTGATTACGGAACCGCATCCCCTCCCATTGTATACACCCTGTAGCAGCAGCCAATGTCAAAACCGCCTTCCCCCTCAGGCCTCTGGGGCTGGCCTGGCTTTGGAGCTGGACTGAAGCAATACTTCCGTCCCCTTCAGTGGAGGGGGGCTCCTCCTGGGTTCCTCCCAGGTCCCCTGGCTTTCAGGGTTGAGTCATACCAGAAAGAAGGGGTTGGCCTGAGACTGTCTGAGCCATCTCAAGCCCCAGCTTGGGGCCTGGGTGTGATATCATGGGGGTGAGGTTGGGCTTTGGTAGGACTGGGAGTGTTTATGGGTGGGGGCCCCTGGAGGCTAGTCAAGGCCAGTGGGGAGCTTGGTTATGAGGAAGCTCTGAGCTCTGAGCAGGGGACGGTTGTAGATGGGGGCTGTTTTCTGTAGGGGGCCCAGTCAGAATGAGTCACTGTTCAGCAATTAAAAAACATACACATACCACTAACAAAAGGCAGGAGGGTTGCCACAGGCTGAGGGCAGGGATAACAAATAAAATTTGCTGTATAATTAGTTTCTAATCAGATGGGCTAGCTCTGGGGTTTTGTGCCAGGACAGAGCCTCTGGTTTCTTAAAGGAAGTGTGGGTGGGGGATGGAGAGAAGAGCCTCCCCCCACCACCAGGGTTGGAAAAGGCAGAGGCCTAGGGGAACAAATGAGCCCCTAGTGTACTCCGCCCCCCACCCAGGGCAGGCAGAGCCCAGACTTTCCCTAGTATTGGGAAGCTGCTGCTATTAATAAAGATGCAAGGGCTGGGGAGGCTGGGAAAAGTGCAGAGGCAGGAGAAAGGAAGGCTGTCCAGTTCTCTGTCCTGGGATTGACAGTGGAAAATGAAAGGAAGGGAAAGGTGGAGATGGGGCTGAAAGGCACAGAAGAGGGGACAGCAACCAGGGTGATGAGTGAATGTGTGCCTGCACCCAGGGCTTTGCCCTTAGTTGTATCGGAGTGCTCAGGTGTCTTTCGTTTAGGTGGGGGAGAAAACAATTTTACCTGATTTGGTAGTAAGAGGGTGTCTGTAGATGTGGGTCTGTGAGTGTCTTTGAGACTGTCTGCTTTGCCCTCAAATGCACCTGTCTCCTGTCTGTGTAGTTGGGGGATGGGGGGTGGCACACATACGCAGAGTATACCCTGGGGTTCCTACCGGCAGGTCCCTGATCCCCCAGCTCATGGAAGGAACTGGATGGAAACAGGCCCTGAACTTTGTCAGCAGCTCCGTGTGTGTGTGCGCGCGCGCGTCTGCGTGCGTGCGTGCGTGCGTGCGTGTGTGTGTGTGTGTGTGTGTGTGTGTTCTTGTATTCGTTCCTGTGCCTGGTGTGGGCAGGCTCAGAAGTAGTGGGTTGCATCACAGCCAGATGTGCAGTTCTGTGCGCTCAGCATCTGTGCCCCACAGCCTGAGTCTCGTCCCTCTCCAGGCTCCCCTACCCCAGGCCCTCCAGATTCTCTCTGGTGTCCCAGGGCACTGGAGTTGGAAACCCTTCAATGGCCCAGTGCCACTCACTGTGAGTTGGACTTACTGAACGAGTAGGAAGAGGGGCCCCACCCTCAGGGGAGGGGGTGAGCGACGAAGAACCTGAATGGAAGAACCCATTGCACTCCATCCTCTCTAGGCTAGCCATGGGGAGGGTTGTTTTCCTGGGCCTCTTTTCCCTTGTGGGAGGGAGTCTGTCTTAAAGGGCCTCTGCTGGTACCACGGATGAAGGCAACAGAATTATCCCAGATGCAGGAGCAGAAGCATGGAAACCTGGCACATGCCTTAAGATATAGCTCTGCTTCTTGTGCTTCCTCTTCCGTTGTCCCGGGGAGGGGCAGGGGCTGCTGAAATGCCCTACTGGCTAGGAATAGGAAACGCTGATCAATCTCCCCCTGGTGGTCCTCCACACGCATACTCAAAGCACCCACCTGTGCAGCGGCCTAGAGCTGGGGCCCAGCAGGAA